CTCCCCTCCCCATCTTCTGCATAATTCGTAGTACATATGTATGCATATTTGAGTGTGTGGGTGTCTGTTGTTGAACGGCGCTTTAAATCTTTCTACTTTTTTTGTCGTCATTTTGTATTTTCACATGCTTTTCCGGCGTTTGTAATTTGTTCGTTTTATTACATTTTTAGGTTTTTAAATGGGACCAATCACCAACATATTGTAAGCACATGCACTGCAAGACATAGGCAGATGAGTGTTTTAGCCCGAAAAGGAAAGAGGAAACTGCAGTGTACTGGTGATTCAACGAAGTCATTGTATCAGTTAGATGAAGGTAGTTTCTGGCGCCGGAAATAAGTTTCAGTCGAGGTCCGATTGAGAGCATGCGAAAATGTGGCAAAAGCAAACTCGAGCGCAATTAGCAGACGATTTGAATAAGTCATTTGTTCTGGAGTTACCGGCTTAAGTCTACGCAGCCCTCCCGCCTCCAACTTCCTATTTTGTACTGAGGGCAAATGATAAAACTTGGCTTGGCTCGGCCGCTCAGTACGCACTCGTTTGTAAGTTTGTGAGCTACGAAGCTCGTAGTCGTACCGAAGTACCGGGATTTTTTTGTATAAATTCAGCTTGTCTAAAGTAGTAATCAAGAGTGATATGCGGATGCTAGAGATACCATTTTAAGACAGAATTTGGGTTTTCCAGGGAAGTCCAAGGGCGGCTCGACGTCGTCAAATAAAATGTACTAATAGACAGCTAGGGCTAACTGCAGCAGCCACAAAGAGGCAGTCAAAAAGATCCGCAGAGCAGGCACACATCTGTTGTTAGACATCCCAGGAAGTTAAAACTTTTTTGCGCTATATTTTGCCACTGGTCCATAAAGATATAAATCTTGGGTCAGGAAGTGCAACAACTGCCGTCAATAACGGATGAACAGTTGGGGCACTACTGCTTACGTCGAACTGGACACAAAACCGGCAGTCTGTCCAGTAGAATCCTTTAGCTAGACCCTGCAGAAGGATTTGGGACCAAATTTAAGCTTCGGAGTGGTGGGCGGGATTATTTCCAATTAGCGTTAAAAAATTCTAGGACGGAGGAGGAAAAGAGGGGAAGCGTCCTGTATAGGATGGCACTGAAGAATCTTTTTTTTTTTTTGTTGTTTGACGTTTGTTCAAAAAACATCCACAAAATCGAGACTTCACATTGACATTTCGAGTCTCACATCAGTATCTCGGGAACCACTGTATCCGGGCAACATCGACACTACGGGCGATTTTAATTAAAAAAAAAGAAGGTGGGATGCGTCGTGTTCATTTGAAGTATCATAAGTCAGTAGTACGTTAAAAAGTATTGAGGTATGAAAGGTATTAAGGTGCCATCAGTTTCTTTTTTTGTTTCAAGAATCGATAATCAGCAGGTGCTCTCCAGTGGTGGTTGAGGCCGTTTTCTCTCCCCTTATTAAAACAGTGATTGGCCCTCCTAACACCAGGAGAATACAGCGACACTAAGGTTACCGCAGTGATAAAGAGGTGAAGCTGTCAGCGGTTCTCGGCCGATATAGGTGGAGATTAAGAAAAGTGCTACGGTGGTCAGTTTTTCAGGCACTTTTAAGCACGCCTTCAGAAATCACTGGCAACGCGCGCCGAGTGCGGCCTGTGCGATCATGCGTTTTTGCAGTATTTCGTGCTGTAGTAAGATCGCTTGGAATCCCAGTAGCTAAAATTTGTGATGTACTTTCATCGAAGTTCAGGGGGTTAAATGTTCAACAGCGTGGTACTCTGACAGGGCACATTCCGTAAAAATTTCGGCTTTTATGCACCTCTAGTTCCCGAGTTAGTGATTTTCCCGCCAAAAATTTCTACGGGACCTTACGTGAGAGTCGTACACCCTTGGGGGTTGGACTTGAAACCTTCAAGTTTTACGTAAACTGGGAATGTCTCTTTAAAATTTCGGCTTCCCAGCTTTCCCTGTTCAGTTAACAGTTTTCCTCCCAAAAACTCGCGGCGCCGTACATGAGAATCGCGCACGCCTGGGGCTGAATTTGAAATCTTTAAGTTATACATGGACTAGGAACATCCGTTTAAAATTTCATCCTCTCAGCTTCCCGGTTCCCAAGTTCGCCGACGCCGGCGTGACCAGTTAGGTTCGCCAACGTTGGTGAGGCTGGGTGGGCGAGGGCGAGGCCCGCGCGCTCCAGGTCCTCGTCCCGTACGTGGGGTCCGAACGTGCATGAAGGTCAGTATTGCGGTCCTGGGGTGGCACCTAGCCGAGGAACACTACTGGCGAGATTTTAGCGCCGGCACCTACTTCATTGTCCAGTTGAGAAACGCGGGGAGGCGCACAAACACACATACGCGCACCGGGGTCGTCACAATATGCATTTTTGCATTCGCATATGTGCAAAAACACATAAAAATTGAAAGACGAAAGAAACAATTTCACAGTCTGCAAATGCATGGACGGAAGGGAGTTTTTTTAACGTAAAAGATCGTCAATTAAAATTTGAATGAACAAGTGAATCATGAAATCAAAGCCCGGCATTCTGCTCCTCATTTCCAGTAATTTGAGGGGACAGTTTAGGTCACTTTTTCCAGCATCGGCGATTTAGCCTCAGCTTCACACTTCACTTGAGACCCAAATGAACTGCAGCCTCATCTGGTGCGGAACAAAAAAAATTTTAGCTTCTACTGGCCCACTCAAGAAATGTAGTCACTGATACACAGGTCTGTCATTTCGACGGCTTATGGAGAGAAATGGACGGTAGACTCGAGAACAAATCAGCATAAGAAATGCAGTGAATATCTGAAGCAGTGCGAACGGTAATGAGCAACAAAAACCCCAGTGAACATCGAAATAAGTAAAATTCTCACGAGTGCAAAAACAGTCGTCCAAAAATGTTCCGGAGAGTTGACACGGTGGGAAAACCACCTAAGATGTCAGGACACCTCCAAACGGAATATGCGAAGTCAGACCCCCCTCGCGATTTTTTTCAACGACGAACCGGTACAAAACTCCTTTTTGCGTGTCATTTTAAGCTAGCTCTTTATTCACGCTTAGCAAAAAGCTTAGCTGCTCGTCCTCACAGATAGAAGCATCTGCGACACCACTTTGAAATCGAAACCCCGTGGAAGAAGGCGCGAAGTACGAGGCTGCACACTGTAATACCCATATGGCCAGCATATAAGGTAAAAAATCCATATACAGTGCCCCATTTAGGTCATTTGCTAGGTCATTCAACGAATTCTGTAATCCACCAGCCTTCTGAGAGAAGCATCGTGTACGTGTGAAGTGTACGCCCAATAACAAGCATCCGAAACACATCACTGCCAATACGAAATCTTCCCCGCACCCCATTTTTCACACGGTTTCTCAGCATGCGGATGAAGGCTTTCGGGCAGCAAATGTTGCTTTGTAGTTCAATTTCCCTATAAGCCCTGGAAGGATGGTTCGTGATCGCACCATCTGTGCGCAGGATCAACCCCCTGTACCGAACGAGCTCACAAAACATCATCTTTATCCTACTACTTTAACAATCTTCTTTCAAACATCAGTAAGACAATATGGAGAAAATTTTAATCAAACTCAGGAAAACGCAAATCAGCGATGATCGAAAAAATACATGCAATGCACACATTTAGCCCCTTTCGCTCCTTTTGATTCTTACACTTACCCCGTTGCCGACAACTCTGCGCTAAATAGCCTCCACTTTGATGCAAACGTAAACCTTTAAAATGAACATGTGAGACAAAAAAATGAGCCGGAAGCGATGAAATGAATCAGAAGATGCCCGCAGATCGCTAAATGTACAACATCCAGGAAGTCATGCATTGACGCAAAACAATGTGAGGATTAGGAGGGACGACAAAACAAAAAAAAAGACAAAAGAATTTAGGCAGCATTGTACCAAAAAGATTTTCAATAAATACACGACGATCAAAGTGGAATGTGTTCACCAATAATTTTCTTTTCGCCAATTCAAACAAACAATTTTACCGAAAGATTCCAATCCCTATTGACGTTTTGAAAAATACAGTTCATTCGACTTATAAAATAATGCGCACGCACATTTACGGGTGCAAAAATACATCTATGATAAGAGACAAACAAATGGCCACACACGCACATACACAGAGCCACAAACGACGGAAATTACCAAACTCAGGTCGACCGGATTGGGAAACGAGTTGAAATGACTAGGATGTGGCAGGATGGGGCAGAGATGGAGAGGAAGGGTAAGTCCGGGGTGACGCCCCACGGTCGTAAGCGGAACTTCATTCAGACAAAAAACACAGTACCACAAATTTCACAGTCCACACCCAAACTCAAAAACGAGTGCATAATGTTCTGCGGAGCTGAGCCCAAATTTGATATCTGCCCAAACACATGTACACACATTTACGAACAAACACATACACACACAAAGATCGACACATACAATAAGCGCATAGATACAGACTGGTCACACACATGAACGCAGACATACATACAGGACAGAACAGTGGATGACTGTTTGTATGAGAATCGAAGATAACTAAATATCCCCTCCTTCCACACCATCAAAATTCATTTTTGTGAAAGCGAATGCTTCAGTCAGTGCCAATAGTGCTAGTGTGTAAGTAAGCAGGAGCGTACACAACAAGCCACGACGATATGTAACGATGCTGGGTACTGTGCTGTCTGCACGAAATAGTTACGGACTGTAAAATGCCACAACGTGTTACAAAATGCTCAATCAAAAGGTGGCGTGGGGGCTGTGGAGTAAGAAAAGCAGCAGGAAGGTACCAGGAAGGAAGAGAATGAAATCCGCAGTTCAAGGAAAAGGGAGGTGGACATGACGTCCAGCACAAGGACGTTGTACAGCAGCTGTATATCGCATAGTGAAACTTTATCAGGGCTGACGATCAGCAGTGGAACATGCGAGATAACTCTCGCTTCCCTCTTCCCCAAACAGTGGCAGCGTACAACGCGTCACAGGAAAGGCATCAATCAATAGCACTGTAGTTGTGAATGAATGATAATTATCATCAAAAATACACTCGTTTTGCATCGGCGACTGTCGACTCCAGAGGACAGTACGGACACTTGAGACGGTGATGGCCTGCATTACCGGCTCCCTGCGCAACATGAGCTGTAGGAATGAAGCGTCCCGATTGCGACAACTTGTGAAGTGCTTCTCGAGAGATGACGTGTCCGCAGCTCAGCCGCATCGGGGGGTTCTGACGCGTACACTGCGCCTGCAATGCGACGGCCAGTCAGCTTGCGATTTTTTTGCCGCTTGGAAAGATTCATCGAAATAATTCACACAGACAATGCGTGGAAAGCTGGAAGAGGATACCTTGAGGATTGGGCATGCGAAGATTGAGTGGACACTGTTCGAGATATCCACTTCAACAGGCAGCTCGTCACCTTGGAATATCGACTCCGGTGCTCGTTTTGTCATTAGCCGGCGCAAATGAATAAGCGACGATATTATTTTAGCACCAAGCGCAATGCTTAAAACATAT